CAATCAGCTGAGGTAAGCAGTTATAACAGACAATTGTCAGGGACTCATAAATGGCCTGCACCTGTCTGCTTTAAGGCTCCAGTATTAATCTGGACAAATCCTGTTATGAATTGAGTCACAAAAGTTTATCATGACAGCTTTGCCATGCCTAGTAGTGTGGTCAGATTAGTAAAGGAAAGCAGCTTAGAATTACCTGCATAAACTCAATTATCCCATAAACTCAGATCATTCTTATGGAGCATTGTTGGTTTTATTTGGTTTGAGGTTTTTTCCCCCCCAACCCTGAGTGTGTTTTGGGTCATCCTACTTAAACATACTAGACCCTAAACATACTACGTGTTAAAGGATATAAGAATTTTATAATGAATGTTGAAAATCGTAAAATGCTAGAGGATTTTAATCCTTTAATTGCTGATTTTTTTCCTCCTAGGGTAGGTACAATTGAATCATCTGCCTTAAAGTGCTTACGAGAGAAGATTTATGCTCACAGGTCTGAACTCACCAGTGCTTTTGCACAATATGACGTCAATGGCACAGGTACTATTTCCTCTCCAGTCCAGTTGCCACCATGGGGAAAACAGCTTCCATGTGTGTGGGGGGCAGAGGGGACAGACCCCATGGAGAGGAGTCCTGCCTGCCTGCCAGTGTCAGGCTGAAGGCAGCAAGGCTGGTTGACCTTGTTTCTTCATGACCACAGAGGAGGATAGGCATTGGGAAGAGCTTAGCCCCAAATGACTTCAGGGGATGAAGCTTGAAGAGGGAAAAAGAAAACTGAAAGGCATGGGCTAATAATGAAATGCTGTTTGGTAGAGAGTTTGGGCAGGCAAATCCAGTTCCAGAAGCTCAAATGTAGCACCTTCATGTAGCAGTGTCTTCAGAATGTGTGAGACAGGGAACTGGGGTCTCAGGGAAGGAGGAGGGCAGGGGGGAATGGATCTTCTGAGTCTGGGTGGTATCTAAGGAAAGTTTCCTACCTATGGCTCCAGCAGACACACACTCACCCCTCAGATGAAGAAAAGTCAGTGTAAGTTAAAAGATTAACCTTTTATGTAGAAGCAAGAATCTGATTTCTGCCACAAACTTCTCCTTGTGATGGCTTCTCACTTGACTGTGTCCTTACAAGGGCACTCAATAACATGATGCTGTTCCTTTGGCCACTGAACAGCTGTTTCACATATTTCTGTCTGGTTGAGTTTTCAGCCACATGTCCCTCTAATTGCAGTTCAGCTGAAACCTGAAGTATTCTTCATGGTATAATTTGGCTTTCTCAAAAAGTGTTAAAACATGCTGAGTATCATAACAGCATCACAACTTTGTGGCTGGAAGGGAGCTGTGGAAATGCCTAGTCCAACCCCACTGCTCCTTTGTTATGAGGGCTTTTACCTCAGGGTTCAGAGAAAATCCTTGTGTTTTGCAACCCTTTGTGCTGGTGACTGATGTGTGCTGGGTCCTGTACTTTTAACCATGACCTGATCCCTTCTGGCAGGCAGGATTTCTGTCAATGACTGGGCTGCAGCGATGGAGTCTGTCCTACAGCTGGAACTGCCCTGGAGGATGCTGCGGTCTCAGTTAGCACAGATGAACCCAGATGGAAAAGTTGACTTCATGTCATGTTTTTATGATTTGAAAATGGGTCAATCTATAAAAGAGGTAAAGAGGAAAACACCTCCTTGCAATTCTTGGAGGAACAACTTTTAGTGCAAACTGAAGCACAAGACAGTGGTTTAGCCCATCAAGTAGACATCTACATCTGAGCTAGTTGCTGAGCTCCCTTTTATAGTCACTGAAGGAAAATGAGCACTGCTAGGGTACAAATCATCATTCCCTGCTAAGGTAGATGCTTAAAATAGGTTGGATGAATCACATGCTAGAACTGCTTCTTACTTTCTGTTGGCTCTTGAGGGCGTTTAGATAACGGAGCTGAGGAGATGTGACAAATCCTGCCCAGAGCAATCAACCCTTACTCTTTGAAATGAGCTTTTCAAACAAGCTCCAGAGGCAGTTCAGGCCCCTGTGGGAGAAAGTCACATTTTTAGATGGACTTTTAGATGTTTATAATGGTATTTGAGGGCACTTCTACAGAGCCCAGTTGTTACCAAATGGCTGCACAGTGCTTCGGTATGGAGGTATCACTGTAATTTTCCTAAATAGCAGGATCCATTCACATCTGAACAGTGAGTGCTTTGTATGAGCGCATGGTCTGCGCCATCTTCCCTAGATTATCCAAGATTATTTCCACAAATAATTACTGAAGGTAGGAGGTGTGAAGGGCTCCTTTCCCCCTTGCCCTGCACCTGAAAGTGATGGATTTATCTGATTATTCCTCAGGGCAAGACACAGAACTGTCATTCCAGAGAACTCGAGCATAAAGATTTTTTTTTAACATTTAACAAGTTAAACTGGAAAAATGGAAAATGGATAGTAGATATTCTGTTGGTTAAATTAAACCAAGCTCTGAATAGTTTCTTGTACGTGATTTCAAATCCAGGCTCAGCCAGCTTTGGCGGAAACACTGTGCAGATACAGAAAGGATCTGGAGATCATCTTTAACATCATTGACAAAGATCACTCAGGTAAGTCTAGGTAACTTCACTGTGTCAGCTCTAGGGAGTCTTTACCAGTTATCTTTTCCCCACTGTGTTTCCTCCTTAAGGCTTCTATATATAGAGGAACCAGAGGTGATGTCATTTCTCCAGTTTAGGGGAAACTATTTTAAGCAGTCAGGCTGCAACCATATAAGGGACAGTGCACAGAGCCTAACAAGATTCTTACATACCCCAGTTCCAGTATTGGCTTCACTCTTTTGGGGGCTTTTTCTCCCTTCCAGTCTTTCTCAATTCCACTATCAAAAGCATTCAGTCATTACCTAAAGTAAAAATGTGCTTCAGTCATGAAAGCACTAACCCCACCATGGTAGGCAGGTAACTTTCTTGCAATGAAGGAGTGTGCACATGTGTGTGTTTATGCAGGAAGGGGAAACAACACTGCAAAAAGCAACCTATTGTCTGTCTCCTTTAGGTTTGATTTCTCTTGAGGAATTCAGCCAGACATGGAGACTCTTCACTTCTCACCTGGGCATTGACATACAGGATGACTCCATTGACAAGTTAGTCCTCAGCATAGACTACAACAAAGATGGCCACATTGACTTCAATGAATTTTTGGAGGCCTTTCACGTTGTTCACAGACTCGAGAAAAAGGCAACCTCATGAAAAGGCAGAAGTTCTTGTGGGTTGTCTTGGAAGCTCAGCTTGCTGTCATTAGTCATAAAAGGGCTGCTCAATAGGGTCACTGTGCAAGCCTTTATTTAGCCCTTCCTGGATGATCTGTACCTGCTAATAATGGTGAAGAAGAGATGAAAACCTACACTTACAATATTACTGTGTCACTGCCACACACTGCCAGGACCTTACAATTCATCCCCTCTTCTTGGTGGCATCTCCTCCACTAATCTAATCCCTGAACATTGCCAAGGTCATGCCTAGAGCTGTGTAGGAAGGGAGACTTTGGTATGTGTCTGTCAGCAGACCTTAGTGACAGCTGAGAGCATTGATAACCACAAGGAACATATCAGACCTACCCTGGTGATGGAACAGGCACAAGAGAGGCTGGCTGTGGGGTGTCCATTGCAGGAGAGAAAAACAGGAAAGAAGCATCTGGTTAAAATGGGTAGTTCTGAGTTTAATCTTGCTCTTTGCAAGATGCAGAGGAATTAAATCATTCCAGGTTAATCTCTTATCCTTCCAAAAGTTTACAGACATAACTTAGAGGATCATGGTTCAAAGGTATTTATACTTGTACTAGATTTCCTCTTGCCTCTGGTTACTTTTCCCCAGTTTTTTTGGGATTTGGAGCTATGAAACAGTAACTGTTTCTGAGATGGAGACAGGCTCTTCACCCTGGTGCTGAGCAATAGGACAAGAGGCAATGGGCAGAAAGTGATGCAGAGGAACATGACTTGTTCTGAACATGAGGAAGAACTTCTTTACTGTGCAGTGACTGAGCACTGGAACAGAATGCCCAGAGAGGCTGTGGTGCCTCCCTACTGGAGATAGTCAAGAACCATCTGGATGTAGTCTTGTGCTGTGTGCTATGGGATGACCCTGTCTGAGTAAGGAGGTTGGACCAGATGATTCACGTGGTGGTCTCTTCCAACATGACCCATTCTGGGATTCGCTGATTCCGTGATAACTTGTCACCTTAATGAAGGCTAAATCCACAGCATGTTAATGTAACACATGAAAGATCACACAATAAAGCTTTAGCTTTCTGAGCAGTGCCTAAGTGGGGTGGTCTCTTCGCCTGTGTTTTGGTACCCTGCCCCCATCACCATAGAAAACTCTTCCTGAAGATGAACTGGGTTCCTTAAAAACAGAGATGAGTAAGAATACAAGAGTAAATGTATTTTGATACTACAAAATCTAAATATTCTGGAAGGCAGCAAGATGGAAGACTGTTGCACTCACATTCCTGTCTCCTTTCCCTGACTACAAGTCAATATTCCCATTCCTGACAGTACCACCCTGTCAAAGCCCAAGGGGGAGAAGTCAGAAAATCTGGACCTAATTCTCTTGCATCTTACACGCTGAAAGCAACATCAGGTGAGGAGCTTTTTGGTAACTGTTACCTTATTCAGCCTCAGTAAATCCAATGCACATAAAGTGCTTTTTGGGTAGGAAAAAGTTCCAACCTAGTTTCTCTTTAAATTTTAATAGCCAAAGATGAGCTAAGTAAAGCAGCTCATTTCATTTAATAGAAGTGTTACAAAACAAATACAAAACAAGTACAAAAAAAGCATCATTCTTATCATCCCAGAATGTAACAGCAGCCCAAGCTTAAGGCATTGCTGTCTCTCTTGAATCTTAAATCTTATTTTCTACTATTAAATACAAAACACTTTTCCAGAAGTATTGTGTAACTTGACAGATGAACAGACACACACACACACTTATTTCTACTGCCTTGGGGGAGGGGAAAAAAAAGTCTTTAATAGTACAAACAAAATTTACAGTAAAACTTTAATGGCATTGGTAATACATAATGTATATTTTTAGCATGCAGTTATTCTGATCTATGCACTGTGATGATCAATCCCACCTTATTCCAGTGGAGTGACAAAAAGGCTCCACTTACAATGGCCAAACACCACTGAGTGTGGTGGGATCTTGCTTCCCACTGCTGGCTTCCATGCAGTGGGTGTGAAGTGACAAGGTGGAAATCGACACTGCAGCTCTGCAGTCCCCCTTTGCCACCTGCCCCAGTAAACAGGACAAAGCCAGGCTGTACAGCAAGACACAGGAGCTCTGAAGGATGGCTGGCAGCCTCCAGTGTGATGTCCCCCCCACATTCCTGATCCTGGCATGAAGGGGACTGGCCTCAAGGGATCAGTTCCTGAGAGGGGATGCCAAGGTACAGTCTCAGCACAGCTTCACTGGGCAGGCAGTGAGAGCCTTTTGGGGATGCAGAACTGCGGTATGAGAGGAGCTGAATCATTGAGCCAAAAAAAGAAAGCACTGTCCTGTCAGCTGCTGGCAGCCAAAAAGAGCCCCGTGACCCCTGACAGAAGGGGGGTGGCAGGGGGAGTAACTGTGAAACTTCTAATGTTGGGAATAAATGCCACTTGACTGAACCAGGGAGTGGGAAAAAGCGCTGCTGCTTGTACTTATATCCAAACTGAGCTGAAGCTCTTCTATAACCACCATCCTCAATCCCTTTTTTTCAGTCATGATTCTATGCAGCATCTACTTCATGTGCTGCTAAGTCACATCACCAGATGTGACTGGTCCTTTAAGCAGTGCCTGAATCAGTCTGCAGATGAGTGCCAAGCTCTCACCCTACAGCTGCGGATGCCACCACTGGTAGCATCTCTCTCCTGCTTTCTGAGCAACTCTGCTCCTACCTGCCGACCAGTCCAAGAAGTGCCCAAGATTGGACCTGTACTGCCTCGAGCTCCTGCTTCACTGAAGGCCCTGGCTACTGCCAGAGGGTGACACATGCCTGCAGTGTTCCACACCCACATGGGACAGGCCAGGTGTTTCACTACCCCACAGAAAGTGACTGCCCCTTTGCAGGGCAGCTAAGGACTGTGTGGCTCACCTGCACCTTGCAGGAACAAGGAAGACTCCCTGAGAAAGGAGACTACAATTAGCAGGAGAGAAGCCAGACAAACTTTGTACTCCACCCATTCAGTTTTCAGTTACCTGTGGGACCAGCAGCTGAGGGAGATCAATGGTGCTTTTGATCTGTCTATCGGCAGCAGGGAGAAGACAACAGCATGAGCAGGGGGATGATGGCCTGGGGGAGCAGGGTTGGGGCCAGCATGTGGTATGAGCTCTGAGCTGGACACAGATCCTTATTCTGCCACTTCCTCCCCACAGCCCCAGCCTGTCTCTGGGCACACCTGGCTGCCCCCAGCACTGCAGAGGTGCTCCTGACCCCACAGCTGCAAACTGCAAACATCAGGCTGGCATGAGCAGCTCTTGGGTCAATCTATTTTAATTCACTAATGCCCTTTCCTGTTTCTGTGGCACAGGACAGGTCTGTTCACCTTTGCCTTCTTTCCATAAATGAGTTTCCAGGGACTGGGATCTGGCAGTGTCATCCTTTGCTGGCTCCTCAGGGAGGCTGCACAGCCAAGGAGAGCCTTTGCCAATTAGCTCAGCCCTGCACAAACTGCAAAGTCGTCCTGTATTATATCTGGGAGTACACCCTGGCCACTGCCAGTGCCAGCTCTGCTTTGCAGCAGCCTCACACACACTGGGGAGCCTCAGCAAAGCAAGGGGTCTGTGTAAAACCTTATTTGCCATAATTGGTTTTGCACTCCAAGGCAACTCTCCAACTGCAATGGCTCTTCGCTCTGAGCTGTAACACAGCAGCAAGGTGCAGCTGTGCCTGACCCTGCAAGTAACGTGTTTGCCTTTCACTGGCCTTGTGTTTGAGTACCGTCCTTCACCACCAGATACCAAAACTCTTCAAATTACCACATAAATACTTTCCAACTGCCTCCATTCCATGGGGTAATTCATTCTGATCATCCTGAATATACCATAACCTAGATCATACGGTGAATTTGATATTAAAGACACCAATGACAGTCCCATTTAAAAACAAAGAAGTGTTAAGAGTTGTCCAGGTATGTTAGGACATACATTTCATTGCTTTAAACTTCAATGCAGCTGCATGGAAAACCAACATCAGTCTTCTTGTTTCTGAAAACAAATTCACACAGTAGGTAAAAAAAAAAATAAATTAGAAGTCTAAGCAAAAAGTCATCTTGGCATCTCTCTCTCAATCTAGGATTCAAGAAGAAAAGCAAAAATAACTGCTACTGTTTTTTGTATGATAACGGGTAGAATAAAAAACCATTATCTTGCTCTTGTGCTTATGCTCTGCACTGTCACATCTGCTTAAACTAGACAAAGGATTTTACTTCCTTTTACTGGGAAACAAGCCAAGTGAGCTCTCACAATACATACAAAAAGTTAAAAAACCCAAACCAAACAATAACAAAGGCAAACCCTTACAAAACAGGCACCATGCCAATAAAATAACTTCCACACCCAAGTGCTAATTGTACCTGAACTGTCACTTTATACTGGCCCCTGCACAGGCCCACGGTTCCCATGGTGGTTAACACAGGGCTCCTGGTCCTCTGGACTACCAAACTCTGGTCTGTGAAAAAACGTTATATCACCTCATATTTAGGCCTCACACACCTACACTCATACTGAGTCAGTTCCCAGATACTGCTACAGCAGCAGTGACTGTAGAGGGACAGCAGGCAGGGTGTCATGCCTTTGGAGCTGAGACCTCCTGAGACCAAGAGGGCTGGCAAGTGAGATAGGACATTACTTCTACTGGAAACAAAAACCTCACTCTGAAAAGCACCACACACTATTGTTACACACACACACAAAAAAAAAAAATTCAAATCCTATACAAATGGCACAGTTTTGTTTTTAAAGAGTAGAGGAGAGGCTCACAGAAACAGCTTATCAGGCTTATATATCTCAGAAAGTAATTATTTTTACAGGCCTATCTGCTTTTTTCCCCTCTACCTGCCAAGACAGAATTGCTCTGATCCTTTCTGCTCACATGGCAGCTGTGCTACTGAGGGACTCTGACTGTGGTCATGGGATGCTGAAGCTACTGCCACTTTCCTAAGCTGTTAGCCAGATGCTGACACATGGCTGGTGGCAAAGCCAGCAGCACAGGCACAAGGAAAACCACAGACAGTGCCTGGGGTAAGGCAGAGTTTTCCTATCCAGAGCTGCCTACCTCTGTTTTTAGTTTAAATGGCCCTGGAGTCATTTCCATGCAGGATGCACCTACTCCCTGCAGCACCTCAAGAGCTTCCAATTGACAGCATTAACCTGGGAACTGTCTGCAGGAAGACTTCCAGTCAGCCCAACCCCTAATTACATGAGACCAGTGTTACTTCAAACTAAAAAGAAGAAAAAGAAAAAATGGTAAAGGGAAAAAAAAAGAAAAAATAAAAGAAAAGAAAGAAAACTCAAGAAATAAAAAAAAAAAGAAAAAAAGAAAAAAAAGAAAAAAAAGAGAAACATCAAAGCCTTCCATAAACTCACGCTACACTGGAAAAGCCACAATTATGCTATTCTTAACTCTGAGGCTGTTTGCGAGGGAAATGATCAGGAGACTTGGAAAGGGTGCTCAAGTGGAAGAGGTTTATCTTGCTCCATTCAGAGGAAAGGATTACAGGCATAAAACTGTCTGTCACACTGGAGAAGCTGGAGTCCTGAGATTTTGCCTCCAAAGTCTTGGGGATGCAGGGAAGGAAGCTATTCAGATTACAGACAGATGTGGCTTCCTGACAGAAGCTATCCTCCCAAATCAGTGGATATTGTAGGATGTTTGTCCCTACTGGCATTAGCCCTGCACTGACTAGGAATCAGGATAAAAGTGTATTAGAAATATCACCACATTATTTCAAGTTATTCTTAATCCTCTAATTTACATTTCCCTGGATGTTTCACACTGTGCATTAGTGATTCACAATGATGTACATTTACACACAGCAGGATAAAAATTAATGAATTCCATCACTTCCCTTATTTGTGAGACTCTATGCCCAAGATGTAGCTCCCTCGTTTTATTATGCCTTTTGATCTCCACAGAGTAATCTGTTTTCCCCTTGGCAGAGCTGTATAATTCTTGCTAATTTAATATGAATTACATTTATGCACTTTGGGCAGAATATGCCTCATTATTTGTTATTTCTTGCACACTCTCCTAAAACCAGGCCAAATTCCAGCTCCCTGTCCCCAGTAGGTGTGCACAGAGCATCCCCAACAGTGGCAAATGCTGAGGGAGTGCATGGCACACACTCAGGCAGCAACCAGCCAAGGGGTTTGTGACAGGGAGCTAAGGGGGAAGAGCCTCTGAGCCTTCCCTCCTGTGTGAGGCGTCACTTACTGCATTGCACAGCCTGTGCTGGGCAGGAAATCATGTAAATAAATAATAATGGCTTTTGTTAGGTAAGTCATGGTGCCATAGGCTCCGCTGGGAGCACTGTCATAAAAAAAGTGGCAAATTCCTGTAGCTGGGTCTTTCTCCAAGATACTACCAGTAGCTCCAAATGATTTCTGTAAAAACACAAGCAAAGAAGTAGAGCAAGTTAGGCATGCATGCTTATTTATTGGAAAAAAACACCACATTACGATTTTTTATTTGTGCTGAATATTGAAAGCAATTCTCCTTCTCCCCATGAAAACCTTAATCAGGATTACTATAGTGCCCACATGACTTAGTTGGATCTGTGCAAGTAAATGAAGAACATATAACTTCATGGATTTTTCTCCTTTGGGGGAATGGGTGGGATTGCTCAAATACTGGTAATAGTAATGCCTTGATAAAGCAGAACTTCCCTTCAATCTACCCTTGTACTTCAGAGCTTGTTAGCCACTACAATTTTATTCCCTTTAAATCTCCCACGATTCTTACATTAGTTTTCCCAAATATATTTCCAGAAGATACGTAAGGGATTTGGTCTGTCTTGGTAGGAAAAAGAGCCAGGACAAAATCAATTTCGTCATACACATTAAAAAATCAGCAGGGGATAATTTTGAAAGTAGGAAGCTTCCCCCCACTGCCCTTTGAGCTCACCAGCTCCTGCAGAAACAGGTCATTGGCCATGTGCACGATTCTGTCCACGTGGATGATGCCCCCGATGCTGTTCACCTCGATGTCGGAGAGGAACGTCAGGACGAGAATAGCTTCCACCAGGAGCTGCCTGTACTCGGGCTGCGGGATGTGGTTCAGCACCGACTCCACGTGCACTGCAAACTTGATTTCGCACGGGGTCATCTGGCAAGTTTGAGTGGAAATGGAAAGACAAACTGACAAATCCAAAAGACTAGCTCCTCACATCCTGCAAGCACTGAAACATATGCTCCTCTCTGCACATGGGGGCAGACTGACTGAAGCGAACAAAATGTTTGTGCAGCTTTAGCACTTACAGAAAGTTTTCGTGTTGCTAGACCTGATTCTGCAAACAGTTACACAACGTCCAGAAGCCTGCTCCAGCCCTGCAACCCATCACACACACATCTCACTTACACACAGTGCTGCTGATGCTTAGCTGGCACATTAACTCTTTGCTCATCAGGCTGTGATCTTGCACTCTGCGTTGTACGTTTCTTTCTGGCATTGCAGGTGAGTTGCAAAGCCAAACCTACTGCGGAGTTTTTGAAACAACCACCTGCTTAGAGGGGTGATTTTTAAATAACCCCTGAGCTTTGCCATGCAGGTATATCACTATTCTATTTGCAGAGCAACTTAATTTGCACTGGCATAGCTCTGTGGATGTTATCCTGCCTTAGGAAGCTTGTGCTTATTTAATTCAATTGCTTTAAACAGCAAAATTAGGTACTGTCCAGGTCTGCCAAGATAAAAATATAAGTCTCTTTATCTACACAATAGGGATAGATAAAGCTCTCCTTTCTGAAAAAAAAAAGCCACAAACCCCAACATTTAAATTTGGCAGAAAATTCCAGCTCCTCTCTTCAGCTGTTACCACAGTTCCTCAGAAAAGAAGGAAGCCAGAGACAAATCTGGGGGAAACAGTCAGGAAAACAGTCTTGGGCACACAAGCACCACTCTTGCATTGATGGATTACTGCTCACAAGAGTTTGTTTTATAGATGTGAATTCAAAATTTGCTGGAGCACCTAAAGACAGTATCCAGCTAAGAAAAAAATGCTGTAAAATATGGATTTAAAGACCCAAAGCTCTGGTTAGAAACAATCATCCTTAACTGGCATTTACTTTTGAGACTGTAAAGCCAAAATATACTACCTGCTCTTGCAGCATATTAAAAAAATTAAGTGGCAAGCAACGTGTTTGCTTTATTCCAACAAGTCTGTGCTGCCTCACCTTCCCCCCAAAGGGCTGCTGACATCCACCCTCTCTGGAGCCTCCCAGTGGGCACAGGGGGACAGTGAGAGTGCACAGAAGGCAGGCTCAGCAATGGGGAAACCTGTCACAAGCCTCCTCCCAGGCCTGCCTGGCAAGAATTCACCTGCACAGAGCCAGGGAAGCTGGCAGAGGTGCTGGGGGAAGGTCCAGATGTTCTAAAAGTAAAACCATGGCTCTGTAACAGAGGCTCTGCTGCACCTTACACTGTCAAACCAAATATTCTGACATGTGGCTAGAAAATCACAGGCATTTTACTGTACCTCTCTGGTGGTTGAAGAAGGAAGGACATACCCATCAATGGACAGACCATGGCACTGAAACATTTCAAGAGTGAACATAAATTACAGTTCTTGCAAGTCAATCTGAGGGTTCTCTGTTCTAAGCCAGTATGTAACAACTTCCAGTTAGGAAAAAAAAAAAGGCCAAAGCAAAAACCCCCAAATGACACAAAAAGAGCCCTGTTCAAAAATTATTTTATCCTTCCTGAAGAAGTTATTACGTAACTGGCAAAGATTAGAAATAGCCTGACATGACACACCAGAGCATGCTGTGCTCTAGCCCAGCTAACGAAGCAGATCACTTCAGGAGCCACTACAGCAAAGGCACAAAAAAGAGGGAAACATCAGATGGGAGCATTCTGCTGGAAGGGATTTGGAAATAAAAGATAACACAAAAGCAAGACAACAGACCACAAAAGCAAGAATCTTTTTCCATTGTCGCTAGAACAACATTTAGTTATGTGTTTCAGATCCAGGACACCACACCTCAGGACGTCAACCACTGGGGGAGAGAAATAACAAGTGGTATAAAGAAAACAGTGACAAAACCTAAGTGGTGAAAAGGCAGGTTAAGGAGTGACATATCTAGGTATGTGAGGTTCAGAATAGAAACACATCAAGAAGAGGAGACAGATTTTATGATTAGTCCAAAGAGATTTTAAGAATGAAATATTGAAGACAAGCACAATTCATTTTAACAGCCAGAAAAAACATACAATTACTCCCAGCCATTACATTAGGTCAGAGATATTGCTCACTCTGCTGGAAGATCCTATTAGTAAATAGCCAAGAGGTCATATATGATTTGTCTTGGCTGACATCAACAGTAACAGCTTCAGTGTAAGGGATTTTAGAAGGACAAACCAGCCTGAAGTGGTGATGCACTCTTTTCCCAACTAAGTAAGCATGAACAGCTCAGTGCTGCAAGGTGGCAAATGCTGGCCTGCATCCAGCAAAGCAGAAAAACAGGTGCATAATCACTTTGAAAAAATTTAAATTTGCAATTCCTCTCTCTTTCCTGAAGAGTTGCTATTTTTGGGTTTTTTTTTTTTACATTTCTATACCCCTGATATCCAAAATGCTGGAAAAGACTGACTTTTCATTTAAAACCAAACTAACGAACAAAAAAGGTTAAGAATGCCATACAGCTTGGAAGAGCCAGCAAGAGGTCTCAATACATTCTGGAAGAGTTAGAGCAGTTTCCTACTTCATTTCTCATAGCCCTTCTGACCTGAAGCACAGAACTGCATTGCACTGCAGTGCCCTTTAGGTGCACTGCCAACGTGCATTAGGCCAGGGAATGCACAACAGGGAATGGTGGAAGAGAATCATTCAACCAAAATTCAGCATTGGTGGCTTCAGAGAAAAACACATTTTCAAAGAAACACACAAACTTGTGTTAATGGAGCCCTTTTATGTTCAAGAGACACCCTTTTACCAGTGACACTGGTTTCCACCTGTTGATCAACTTCCACTCCTGGCAAGATGCCACTCCTGAACCACCACCTCCATGAGTTACAGCTTCCTTGCTTCCTCCACAGTAGTCAGCTTACCTTCTGAAGGATTTTCCACACTTTCTCATAAAAGCCAACAGGAACTCTGTTAATAGCACCATCAAGCCTCCTTCTGCGCAGCCACTGCCCTTTTCTGTCACCCCAGCTCATATCTCCACTGGAGCCAGTTGGAGAAGAACTGATGGGAGATGATGGAGTACTGCCCCTCTGTAAGGACATTAAAGCTTTGGTTAGTTGCTTTCTACCACCCCAAGCGCCACTTCTGGCCAATACATCTCTGTTATATACCTCAGAACCAGGGAAAAAATACAGGTCTTGGTGTCAAACAGGATCATGAGGTGCGATTGATTCTTGATCCCCATCAAGAGAGGCAACAAGCTTCAATTCTCAAGTACTTCCATCATTTCTCAACAAAACAGGCAAGCACTTCAACGTGGCATTACCCAGTGAACTTCACTGCTTGGTTTAATGCAACACCTGACTATTTTAACAAGCATGAGTTGCTTCCAGGGCAGTGTCACTGGTGTGCAGGGTGGGGGGACCTGCAGGTAGGTCCGATTCACTTGGACATGGGGCTCAGTGTTGTGAAAGTATCAAAGATTCATAAGTCCAGAAAGAGAGGCTCTCATTCCATTAAAGTAAGTAGATTAAAAATTGACCTAATGAAGCCATGAAATCATCATGCCTGCCTCTGTAAGTGTTAGTCTTGTTTCCTTTATTACCCTTGTTGCTCTATTATTTTACTCTACCAGGTTTGGACACTAAATTAGGCAGCAAATCATTTTCAAAGTTGAAATGCCTGTTGTGATTTACACACACACAGTTTGCCCATTCCTTGCACTCCCAGAGACTGTGTTCTCCTTCCTTTTTGATACCTGTTATTTTCACCCCAGAAAGGACTTGGCTGAAAGTGCTATCTTAGATCCCCTTATCTCCATCTTAGATCCCCTTATCTCCAAGTAAGAAGCCACCTGAGCAATGTAATGGGAAGGAGGAAAACGACTGCAAACTGCATGTTTGGAAAGCGCAGGCTCATAGACTCTATGTAGCCAAACTCTGCAAAAAAAAACCCCAGCAAACAGTCCACTTCCACTGCTACTAGTGCCCATGAGACACACGAGGTGTTCCTTTGATGTTCCCATGTTTGCTTTTCCTTTCCACTGCAAACTGACCATGACAGACAGAACTTCCTGCTCTGTAGCTGTGTTTTTAGGGCATTTGGGAGGTGTGCCATTGACAGTAATTCTGAAGACGTAGACAGTGAGAGCTTAAGAAGTGCTAGAGTTCTCTGCCTTGAACTTCTTGAAGATACCTACATAACCCCTATCTCAGCAACTTGAAGCTATTCTGGGCTCCTCACTGTCCAGAGGCTGTCAGCATTTATCCACACTACATTACTTTTACATGCTGAAGACACCTGTAACAATCCACTATCAAGTAGCTAAATCTGCTATAATACTTTATCTGCTACAAGTGCTTAAGCTTCAGAAGAACTAAGTGGATCCAAATGCGAGACTCAAGAGTCAATTAGACATTGGTAATGTTCAATTAGAACATTACTAATGAGAATTGGTTCCCAATGGAGACAAGATAAAGAGGTGGGTTTTAGGCAGGAGAAGACAGAGGAAGTGTCTAGGGCCAAGACTGTTGCACACAAACACAGGCAGGGTGAAGAGCAGGTGCAGAGCTACAGATGGTGTTTTACTGTGGAAGCAAACATGCTGCTGGACATGGAGTGCCCCTCATGAAAGAACTACGAAACAAAACCAGACACCAGCATCAGATAGTCAGGGGAACAGAACACAGACAAGGTTAGGTAACACTTAGGTGCAAAGACAAGAAATACAGAATAACCTTGGTACTCAGGGAAAAACTGCAGCAATACCTGGCCTCTTTCAGGGCTGCACTTCAGCTGATACCAGGGCATCTGCTGCTGATTCCCAGGGTCACCATGAGGCAGAGCCTGCCATGCCAGGACCCTGTTTGGCAGCCCATGCCATCCATAATGCTCCCAGCATGGCCAGCACAAACCACCAGTTTAAGATGCAAGCAAAAGCTTCCCTGTGACTCAGGGCTGAGATAAAAAGCAAGCTCCCTACTTCCATTTCCCATTTGTTGTAATGCCACCAGCTTCTCTTTGCATGAGAAAATCATCTTGCTGGAGAGACAGCAGGCTGCCAACTGGATGGGGAGCACTAAACAAAAAGCTTAAAGGCAATTTTTTTGCTGAAATGTAGATGCAGAACCTCAGACTTTAAGCTCTTTTCTTTAACTGTCCACCCCAATCCATGCCATCACATTCAGTGTCAATGGTTCTGACTCAAGAACAGCCACAATAGAGGGAGCTGCAGTTGCTGAACAAGTCCAGAGATGTTACAAGTACTTGAAATATTCCTTGTTACAACAAAGTGTATCCTGCACCACCCCACCCAACCCCTTGCCAAAATGTCATTATATTAGCTGCTAGTCAACACTAGCTGCTAGTCAATTATTCAGAGAATGCAGTGAGATGTGGCAGGAAGCAGCAGGAAAGGCAAAGTGGGGGGTGGTACAAAAATAAGCCCAGCCAACTCCTCCTCCATGCAAAATACCAAGTTTCTGTGGAATGTGAAAGCAACAAAGGAACTATGTTTCTAATGTCAAGAGAGGTCCAAGTATTGAAGCTCAGGCCCACCTCTGTATTTCAAACAAAATAATGCTGCCATCTAGTGCCTTGTCCCTCCTCCTTCCTGGAAAGGCCCTGAACCCAGACACCTCCATTTGACTGGGAGCCCTGCTCAGACTGACCTGCAAGGCCACCTCAGGGCCAGTGCAGCACAGCTGG